AGTGGTATTTTTGTAAATGGACACCCCTAAATGGCATTTTTGCAAATGTGCACATAAAAAGTAGTATTTTTGTAATTGCCCATTTGAGATATCCATGAGAGACTCACTCTCTCTTAAAAAAATCGGCACTTGTCATTTTATAATTGGTTATCACTTTTTTTTTATAAATCATATTTTTATAGTTTAGAATATTAATTAAATAGTTTATATGTTGTTATTTTTATTTTATTTTATATTTATAAATCATAAAATACATTTATCTATATATCAATCTATATTATGCATAAATATAAATATATATTAACATTATTTTAAATTGATATTACTTAAAGTTAATACGAAATTAATATTGGTTTAGTTTATAAACTAATATATTATTGAAATGATTTTTTAAAACTAAAAATTCTATTTTAAAATATTTATTATTATTATTTGATTTTACATAAAATTAATACAAGATATAGAATTAATATTTTTTTAGTTAATACAATGTCATATTAATTAATAAAAATTGGAAATTTTAAAAGTAAAATTACATTTTAAAATGCAATTAATATGATATATTTAGAAATGTTAATGAAAACTTAATATAAAATTTTAAAACTAAATAATACTAAAAATATTAATATTTTATTAATGAAATACTTATTGGGTATCTAACTAATAGAGGTGATATTAAGTAGTATGTCTCTCAACTTAAAATATAGTATAAATATTAGTATTATATTAGGGGGAAATTGTAAAAATGCTATTTTTTATGTGCACATTTGCAAAAATGCCACTAATTATAAGTTTTTAAACCCTATATCTTAAATTTCTAAACACTGAAAAATATTTTGACCCCTAAACCCCCCTAAACCCTCATAACTCAATCCTAATAGAACATAATTAACCCAAAAATAAATAATATAAAGAAAAAATAATTTTGAAAAAGTGGCATTTTTGTAAAAGTTTCAAAAGTGTGACATTTTTGTAAAGTGACACTTGAAAAATAGTATTTTTTGAAATTTCTCTTATATTAGTGAGAATATTCTTAGAGTATCTCATCAATAGAGATGTTCTAATAATAACAAAAAATTTTAAAAAGAAGAGATTTTTTTCCTTTTTTTTTTGAGAAATTTCAAAAAATGCCACTTTTCAAGTGCCACTTTACGAAAATGCCACATTTTTGAAATCTTTACAAAAATGCCACTTTTTCAAAATTATTTTTTCCTTATATTATTTATGTTTGGGTTAATTATGTTCTATTAGGGTTTAGTTTTGAGTGTTTAGGGGGTTTTAGGTGTCAAAACATTTTTTAGGGTTTAAAATTTTAAGATATAGGTTTTATAAATCTATAATTAGTAGCATTTTTGTAAATGGACACCCCTTATATGGCATTCTTACAAATGTGCACACAAAAAGTGGCATTTTTGTAATTGCCCCTTTCTTTTTTGATAACTGATTTTTTATTTTTGTTTATTTTTTCTCCGGACCAGTGGTAAGAGCAGGTTCTATCTAAAATTCTTTTATTAGCACAAATTATCACATTATTAGTACTTGATGTTTTTTGCTATCATCGTTGCTTACTTGATTCTTAATTAATCTTAATTAATTCAAATGATATTTAGGACTTATAGTTAAAATTGAAAAAAAAAAATTAGGTAGTGGTAAAGTGGTAAACAAAAAGAGTATTTTTTTATCATTTTAATGTATAGTATAATGTCATATAAAATAGCATGTTATTAGAATAAAAATACAAGAATTTTTTTTTTCTTTAAATATGATATTTGTTAGGGACAATTACAAAAATGCCACTTTTTGTGTATACATTTGCAAAAATACCACTTAGGGGTATTCATTTACAAAAATGTCACTAATTATAGATTTATAAAGCCTATATTTTAAAATTCTAAACCTTAAAAAATGTTTTGATACGTAAAAGCTCCTTAACACTCAAAACTAAACCCTAATAGAACATAATTAACCCAAACATAAATAATATAAAGAAAAAATAATTTTGAAAAAGTGATATTTTTTTAAAGATTTCAAAAGTGTGGCATTTTTGTAAAGTGGCACTTAAAAAGTAGCATTTTTTGAAATTTCTCTATTTGTTAAAGTCTCATCTAAAATTCATGTTATTTAAAAATATATAAACCAACTTACGTACGATTTTGTTACTTTTTGCAAATAATATGATAGAATTTGAATATTGAATGTATTTGTTTAAATATATGAGTTTTTGAAAAAGAAAAACATATAGTATATGAATGGAGAACGAGGTTGTATGTAGTGTAGGGTCCGTCGCGAATAGAAGTTGTAGTGAAGCAATAATGTGAAGAAGGGCGGTGAGAATGAGACCGGATACCTTTTTGACCACCGGATGGTCCGTACGGTTGCGATACGGTGTGGTAGTTAGTGACGGTGGTGACCATTATGCAGCCACGTCACAAGACCATTTGTTTCTTTGGTACGAATTCAATGCATGAGGTTTTACTATCAAATCAATAAATTATTTGGATGACAGAGCATCTTCTGCTGGTCTGGCTTTTAGTATTTATATTTCATTAAAATCATATATTTTGGTTTCTCCGCACCTTCGCTATGTTATGTACTACTACTATACACTTTTATTTGTCAATTTGATTTTCTATGGGTAGTTACATATTTAACATTCTTTAAAATATATGTTATTCATATTTGCTGTCAAGGCTCAAGTTTTTCTACATCTTGACTCTTGAGAGATTGGATACACGAATTTAGATTCAAAAATCGTTTTATACTATTTCATTTATGGGATCACCAGCTTAGAGATGCATTCCAAAAACGCAAATGGTTAAAATTTAATAAAATTTTTTACTCGATGACCGAAATGGTGACATATTTGTGTCATTTTGTAGTTACATATAAAAACGGATGAACTCAAATATATCTATGTTGTAAGTTGACTTATATTTTCTTGAAATAAATTTCAATGAAAACCTATAATTTAGATTAATATGTTAAAGATGCAATATCTTCTAGATAAGATGCAAGTTTAGATATCTAAGAATGATGTCGTATCTGGTTTGGAAAGCTTGGTCTCCAAATCTTTGATGTTGTATATATTTATCACTTGTACAAAATTATTCATAAATGCTCATTCAGATCCCGTCTTAATCTCAAATTGTTGTTAAAGTGTTCCTCTTTAGCAATAATTTACTTTTAAATGTAGAAGAAACATATTTTGTTATTTGGTCACTACGAGTTCCGACAAAACGCAATATACTACATGTTTTTTCTTAAAAGACAAAATATCAATAATCATATCTGCGGCCAAAAGATATCAAATTATCAACCCTTATGAAATAATTGTTTAGATTTCTCTTAGAAGGAAATCTAACTATACAAATACAATATCCATCAATTCCGTGTAGAAGAAGAGACCCATGCATGCATAACAGCATATTCCCACTCCACACGTAACTACGTGCGAAGCTCACTTCACCTGAAAAACCAAACAGTTCCATTCCATAATTTATTGTCTCTTTTTTATTTCTCTATATATACAATTCCACTTAAGCACGGACTCTATGATTAACTCCATCTTCTCC